GGTTAGACATCAGGAAGGACTTTACTGGTTTCACCTGGGCAGGATGACACGCACAGTCAGTATCCCAGGAGGCCTGGGATCCTTGGGGATGTGAAAAGAGAAGATGTGTCTCTGGAATGTTTCAGAGACAGGGGAGGAAGGTGGAACACGACTGGGTTATGGTGCCCCATGAGGCCTCATATTTTTGTCTCCTTCACTGTCTGGGAACTGTGTGTATTTGTGGGGTAGGCAGGGGGTACCGCGGGATTTATATTTACCAGGTGCTTTGCAATTTACAGAATATTTTTTCCATCTTTTAAACTTTCACCTTTGTTTTTTTGGCGTGAAAATGGACATAGCAACACTCAGCACTTTATAGGGGAGATCAGATAAGACTGAACAAGAGTGGCTGGCAAAAGAAATCATTGTTATTATCTCTGTGGTACTTCCCGACCCCGCGAAGCAGGCAGGGCAAGTGTTACTATCCCTGCTTTTACAGGTGAGCGGCTCCGAGGTGTAAAGTGTCTGGTTCAAGGTCACCCGGACACAGGGACAGTGGAGTCGGTGTGACACACAGTCTGGTACCCCACCCGCCAGGGCTCCAATGCACGGGGATGTTCGGCCGTGCTCCCGCCAGGGGGCGCGCGGGCAGCGTGTCGTCACTCTCCTCCCATCTCCCTTGCTGCGGGGTGGGGCTCGGCAGGGCACTGGCTCCTGTCGCCTTTCCTCCAGAGTTCGGCCCCGCCTGGGCCCCGGCAGTTCTCGGCTGCCCGCAGCGGGTAGGGACCCAAGTGGTGGCTTACAATGGAAATGCCTGAGGGTAGAGCTAATGAGTCTTGGTTCTCAAAGCTTCCGGGGACCGGAGGTGTGGGGGAGGGAAACGAACTGCTTGCAGGAGGGACAGCGAGTACCGTAGATTAGGGGCCCTCCATGCCGAGGTTCAGTTTAGTGATCGGTGGCGCCACGTGGCTTGGGGAACCTCACCTCATGTATCCAGGTTCTTCCGCACGAATGCCTTTGATTTCCTTAACAATTATATCCCGTTTTAAGGATGGGGAGCCAGCCATAGAGAATATGACTCGTGCAGGGTCACACTGCTGGTACATGGAAGGTCCAACGTGGAATCTCAGGTCTGAATCCAAACCGGGTCTCGTCCCTGACCCCCACCAGAAAAAAACTTGGAAGAGGGCAGCTGTCACGTGCCGAGGCCTTCTTGGGTCCTCGCTGACTCGCACTGAGCACTCGTCCTGCAGTCTGGGGCTAGAGTACCCATTTGCTGGTTTCCACAGAGCAGCAGTACAGCCTAGGCTGCAGAGGGCTCGGAGTGGGCACATCCTCTCCCTGAGAGCACCCACACGGTAAGCCAGAGTGTGCCGAAATTGGCTGGAGGAGCTTTTATTTTACAGAAAGTGGAGACCCCACTACACATGGCAGCCAAAGCAGGGCACAAGCTAGGACATAGAGCCACTTATGGGAGGGGCGGTGGGGAGGGATTTGGGCACTGCCCATCTCTATACTCAGCGCCAACTTGCCCTAAGAACCAGATGACCCCAAATCCCTGGGTGGACACTGCCAACCTGGTCTGTGTGTCACGTCTGCTGGCTGACCTCCCACAGACTGTCACTCTCCCTGTGCAGGTGAAGATTCAGGTTTCAGGCAGCACTTGCTGGCCAGGCAACAGAGCTATCCCTTTAAAATGATTCTGCCTTTCTGCTCACATCCATTTTGAATTACCATCATAGTTTTACTCTGAGAACTATTTGGTTTTCGTTTTTTCAAGAACCGGGGTTCTCCTGTCACCGCCCGTACTGCCTTCACCATACTCTTTCCGATGGAAAAGTAAATAGATATATTCCAATTCATAGATTATACCTGAGACACTTCTATTTTTGAGAATGCTGTTGATTTTACTGGGGCACTTAGCTTTTCAATAGTGTTTAAAGCCCAAACATTTTATTTATTTCTTTTTTTAAAAGATGACCGGTAAGGGGATCTCAACCCTTGACTTGGTGTTGTCAGCACCACGCTCAGCCAGTGAGCAAACCGGCCATCCCTATATAGGATCCGAACCCGTGGCCTTGGTGTTATCAGCACCGCACTCTACCGAGTGAGCCACGGGCCGGCCTAAAGCCCAAACATTTTACTTATTTCTTTTTTTGAAAGATGACCGGTAAGGGGATCTCAACCCTTGACTTGGTGTTGTCAGCACCACGCTCAGCCAGTGAGCAAACCGGCCATCCCTATATAGGATCCGAACCCGTGGCCTTGGTGTTATCAGCACCGCACTCTACCGAGTGAGCCACGGGCCGGCCTAAAGCCCAAACATTTTAAAAGATTAAACATGAGGGGCATTTGTGTTGCAACGGCAGCCACCCATGGAGGACAGGGGCTGAATACACAAGTTTTGAGAATTGTCACATGGAAGGAAGGTGATAACCAGCAGCAAGTCATGGCAGTCAGGGATACCTGGCAGATTCCCATGCTGAGCTCTCCCTACCTTATAGGAAGCAAAGTGCTAGGAGGAAGTGGCGAGCAGCAGTAGAGGAGGCCCTTCCCCCAAGGGTGGTATTGCCTGAAGAGCGCTGGCTTGTGGTCGGGACCCATTACTGCAGTTGAGCAGGCAGGAGACCTGGGAGCTGCTTTTCCTAACACCTCCTCCCCCATCCCCACCCCTAAGTTTACAGGTGAAAATGAGGACCGGAGAACAGGCATGAAGTAAGGAAATCGCCGGTTTTTGACATTTGCATTAGAAAATTTATTTTGGGGAAAAAAACACTCCAGTAATTTCCTTCAACAATTTAAGTACAGAAAGGAAGAAAGTGACTGTATCCTAAATGTTTTTTCCCTCCTTCAAATCACTTCTGGGGTTGAGAGGAACCTACTTAACATCACATCTCCACCCCACGGGCGCAGGCAGTGAGTGCTACCACGCAGCTGGAGTCGGGCGTGCACAGACTGTGGAGACAAGTTCCACCTAGGGACAAGCAGATGCTGTGAACTTATTCTGAGTACCTCTGGAAGCCAGGTATAGCACTTATAGTTTGAAAAGGCAAAACATGAATAAAATGTAAGTAGACCATAACCTCAAAACAACAGTCTGGCAGCTGGAGAAAGATAGGTGCTTGACAAGACAAATCACAAAGCTATACAAGCTCTGGGGTGCAGAGGAGGAAGAAACCACACTAACTGCCTGTTGCTGGTGGAGGACCTAGAAATGCCTGGGGAGAAAGGAGTATGGTCCCGAGAGAGACCAGCATTCCCCTAAATTTGTTTTCAGATTTTTTTTTGTGGCCATGTGTGGGAGGGACTGGAAGAGACCTGGGAGGAAGTCCCAAAAGGCCAGGCAGGAGTGAAAGGACTTCAGGAAGAAATACAGGGCGCCTGAAGGGATGCTGGTGCTGAGGAAAGAAGCCAATAGGGTTCTCTGGGTTTGGGTACAATAGAAAAGTCAGGAAGGACCCAGGGTGAGAACAGCAGAAAGAGCTCAGGTATATTCAACTTAACTCACTGCCAAAGGCACTGCAAAAACTGGAGGAATATCCAGTAAACCCCTCAGCTTTGAACCTGATAGGAAAGGAATACCTCGTTTTCTACCACCTCAGATATGTACCCTAGTTTAACAAATTAGTATATGCACTTCAATACAATGGTATACGTAACTACCCCGTTAGGGCTTCAGAGCTCATCAGAGCCTTAAACATGGTCTTACAACCCTTAATGAGGCCTGAAGCCTTCAATTAGATTAACCTCAGGTGAGAGAGGAAGCCCTGACAGAGGTGCCAACTCTGAAGCAATCTGCTAGTCAGAGATCAGTGAGCAGCCCAAGCTGTGTGAGATACTTTCTGCCTTTCTGGGAAGAGTCCAAGACAAGAGCCCATGCCTGGGGTCCATTGGGGGGTGGTCACCATGGTCAGGACTCTGCTTCCACTTCCAGTCAGGAAGTCATTTAAGGGGGTCCCAATGGTAGGGCCCCTCCACTGAGACCCTCTCATAGTCCCATACCAAACCATCCCCCGCAGGCCAGGGTTTAGGTTGAAAAGGGGAGGGTCCATCTTCAGTGTGACACAGGCTTCTTGTCACTCAGGAAGTCTGGCAGGCTGAGCTTTGGTGTCAGGGCAGGGTGCCAGGTAGGGGAGAACCCTCGGGCCTCAGGTCTCAGGCTCTTCCTGCCTGGTGGTGTGGGAGTGTGGCCAGGAGCTGGGGGGAGCTGCCCAGTTTTGCAGAGCTCATTCCCCAGCTGAGGACAGAGTGGAGGGAGTGGCAATGAAGACAAAGGAAAGAATGAAGCAGCAAAGAAAAACCTGCCCTTTCTTGGTCTAGGCCAACAGTCCATGTGTCCTGGTTCCAGGTCTGTCCCTCCCCTGCTGCCCCAGCAGGGGGTACTGCAGCTCCTGAGTCCAAGAGGACTAACCTCCCCTCTACCTTGGACCCAGGCCCAGCTGGCTCATGCTCTCATTCGGGCTGTCAGCCCTCTACCCTCTCCAGAGCATGCAGCCATGGCTAGAAGACAAAGGAAGCCACAGAGGAAAAGAAAAACAAATTTAACTAGAGAGGCTCTGAAGGCACCTGGTTTCTGCCAAGTATTTAAAAAAAAAAGCAGTAAAGTGGTAACTGTACAAGGTGCATCATGCACCTTGTAGGGTAGGAAACTAGACGTGGGGAGCGGGGGGGGGGGCGGGGGGGGCAG